CCTCCAGTTGGATTCGTGAGAGGCATTGTTATGGGCTCTAGGTTGTCAGCTGAACTCATGCAGGATATTGCCATGGATCTAGCCCTTGGCTGGATTCTCTAGGTCTTTAGTGCATAGATAGATTTCCTGTACTTCTTGTATTTGACTCTGTGTGACTAGCGTAAAATACTACTATAAATTCTGTGTCCTATATGTAATTGTTCTCCTTGCAACTCCTGACTACAGTAAGTAGAATAAATAATAGTTCAATAGTCAATTAAAAATTCAAAGTATATACTGCAGCATTATCTCCACTGCTGACACTGGTCACACATGTATTTTAGGTGTATGTAAGAGAAAAAAATATATGTATATACACGCAAAGAGTTTCACTTTTTTTTTTTTTTTTTTTTTTTGGTCTTTTTCCTTTTTTTTTATCGGTGCCAGGGATCGAACTCACGACTGCCTGCTTGCAAGGCAGGTGCTTATGCCGCTGAGCTAAATCCCCAGCCCCAAGTTTCACTTTTTTTATTGTGTTGTATTCTGTATGAATGTGCCACAGTTTATGGATGAGTATCTATTGGCTAATAACATTTTGCTTTGAAAACAGTAGGATAGAGCTGAGAATGTAGCTCAGTGATAGAGTATTTGTATAACCTGGGTGAGCCTCTAAGTTCAAACCCAACACCCACACACACACAAAAGCACTGGTATAGTGCATAACACTATATATATTTAATTTTGTAATTTGAGAAATATCTCTCCAAAGTATAAATTCCTCAACATGGAGTTAGAGCCTAATTAACCTGCCTTGTGTTGCACCATTTTATACTGCTAGCATGGCATAAAAATGCTGCTTTCAGAATACCCTTGTCAATAGAGCTTTTTTTGTCATATTTTTAGATGTTTAATAATCAAAAACTGATATCTCAGAGTAGCTTTTTAAAAACATGAAGTTTATTGCTACATTTTAGATATACATAATGATTACATTCATCACTGGGAATTTGTACCTGTACATGGTGTTTTTTGATTTCTCTATTTTTCTTCATCTCTCTCCTCCCTTCAACCCAACTTCCTCTCCCTATTTATAAAGCTTTGTTTCTATTGTATCCCTTTTTTAAAATAATTTTTTCCCTTTTCCTTTCCTTCCTTTCCTTCTTCCTCCACCCTAGCTCTTCTTTCCTTTTGAATAATTGCTTCCCATTTCATAGTTCTTTTTTGTTTTTTTTTTGTTTTTATCGGTACCAGGGATCGAACTCAGGACCGCCTGCTTGCAAGGCAGGTGCTTATGCTGCTGAGCTAAATCCCCAGCTCCAACATTGGTTTTTTTTGTTTTTTTTTTTTCATAGTATCTTTTGTACATTTGGTCCTTATTTACTCTTTCAGTTTCTTATACGAGAAAGACAATGTGATGTTTACATATGTGAGTCCGACTTATTTCACGTAAGGGTATGGTCTCAAGTTGCATCCATTTACCTAGAAATGCTTCAATTTTACCCTCCTTTATGGTCAAGAAGTACTCCATTTATTAAAACACACACACACACACACACACACACACACACACACACACATCTTCTTTATCCATTCCTTGAATGATGGGCATTTGGGTTGTTTCTACAATTTAGCTATTACAAACTGTACTGCTATACACATGGGTCTGCATACATTGTTGTTGTGTGATGTTTTCATTCTTCTGGAAAGATACTCAAAAGGGAAATAGCTGGGTCAAATCAGAACTCTAATCCTAGTTTTCTGAGGAATCTCGATACTGATCTCCACAGTGGTTGTGTCAGTGTACACACCCACCAACAGTGGGGAAAGGTTCCTTTTTCCCTACAGCCCTCCAACATTTGATATTGGTTGTTTTCTTGCTGATAGCTGTTCTTTCTGGAGTGAGAGGGAATCTCAGCATTGTTTTATTTTGCATCTTTCTTCTCCTGCAAGTGAGGCTGATTCATTTTCATGTGCTAAGAGGCCATTTGCCCTTCCTCTTCTAGGTTTTGCCTGCTCACATTCCTTGACTATTTTTCCACTGCATGGTTAATCTTTTGCTTTCTGATTTGTAGAAGCTCATTATATTTAAGGAAAATTAGTCTTTGGTTTGCCACAGAGCTGCAAATATTTGCATCCAATTTGTCATTTGTCTTTTGACTTTGCTTGTAGTTATGAGATTGAATATATCAATCTTTTTTAAAAAAATTTAAATGTATTCTTAACTGATGTATGAAAACAAAGACTGTACATGTTAATATGATACCATGTGATATTTTGAAATATGTATAGACTGTGTAATTATTCTATCAGGTTAAATATATCCATCTCCTCATCCATTATTTCTTTATGCTAAAAAGAAAACTTTCTTCTGCTGTTTGGAAGTGTATTCTACATTATTATTATTTATAGTCCTCCTACCATGCAATAGCACCCCTAACTTGTTACTCCTAACTATAATTAGTATCTTTTGATTAATCTCTGTCCATTCATTGAGGTTTTGATTTGCATTTTCCTGATGATTAGTGATGTTGAGCTTTTAAAAATATGTATATGTATTTGTTGGCCATTTATATGTCTTTTTTAGAAAAATATCTGTTTAGGTCAATTGTCAGCCTTTAATTGGATTAACGGTATTTTTCTGGATTTTTTTAGTTACTTATAACTCTGGACATTACCTTTTGTTAGAGGAATGGTTTGAAAATATTTTCTCCCATTCTGTGGGTTGTCTCTTCGCTCTGGTGATTGGTTCATTTTCTGTGCACAATCTTTTAGTTTGATACAATTCCATTCGTCTACTTTTTGCTTTTAGGTGGATCTTATCCAAAAATTCCTCATATATCCCAAAGTCTGAAAGTATTTTTCCTATGTTCTTTTCTTTTATGGTTCTTATCATCATTTAGTATCATCACTAAAAAGACCTTTGCACTTTAAGGTGAATAACAATCTTTTAGTTTCTTCTATTACTTTGGCAGTTTCATTTTTTACATTTAAACATTGTGTCTACTTGGAATTTATCCCAGCATTTATAAGAAATAAATTTAACTTTGATTTTCCCCATTTGATTGACTCATTATATGGTATTTTATAATAATTACCCTTTCTTGTTTTTGACACTCAATGTTTTGCCAATATTCTCTACAGATTTTTAAAAATCTAACCTCATTGATTTTATCAGTGCAAGGGGGTTTGGGTATAGCTTAGAGGTAGAGTCCCTGCTTAGTAAGCAAAAGGCCCTAAATTCAATCCCCAACCTCCATCTCTCCTTCAGAAGATAAAAAAATAACTCGTGGAGTTTCTGTAATCTACAGATTTATGTAATCTACCTAGGCCATGATATATATTGAAAAGGTTAGAGAGAAGGTAAAGGTAAAAAGATCTTGGAATTATACTAAAAATAATATTTGCATTTTCTTAATCATTGCTGTATGGAAATGTGCTTATTTAGGATATTTACTCACTACAAATCTCTCAAAACAAGAAAGTATAGTCTCCATGATTTCAGATTTTTAAAATGGGAGTGCTTATGCTCTAGTTACTAGCTTAGGCTTTTTCTGAAAGTGGTATGGTAATTTTTTTTCCTTTTTTTTAGTTCCCTTTAGGGTTGGTGGAGGTTGCTCACCCCGACTACTTTTTCGTTGTTTTGTTTTGGTGCTAGGGGATTGAAGTAAAGGCCCTACCCCGAATCACATTCCCAGCCCTCCTGGCTGCACTGTAAGATGCCCCAGAACCCTGAATCTTAATAAGGAGCAGCCCCCCATGGTGTGTAAAGCCTTCTCCAAGATTACCTGAGATGGGAAGCCCAGCAACAAAGTCAGAACAGAGACATTTAGCTTCCTGAAGCAGTAGATTTCAGCAGTGGTACTGGTACATCCCAAGTACCCAGGAATACTCTGTTTTATTCCCTTTCACTGCAGAAGAATGCAATATGCACTGTCATTCTCTAGTGGGATAAAAACTGATGTTATCTACAACAACAGGATGTCTTGGTCACTGTGAATAAAAATCTTTTGACAAGTGCAGACTTTTTCTGTAGCACTGCCACATCGCATTATAGTTATTTGTTATTTTCTGTCTTTTGCAGGAGACAGGGAGCTCTCTAAGGGGAGAAGCTCTTTGTCTTCTTTGAATCCCTATAGCTTAGTACACTTATCCCTTTCTGTTGGAATGTGCTTATTGCATGCTTTTTCTCTTGCTGAGCTGTCTTCCTATATATCTCACTCTTCAATATTCACTGTTTCTTGAGCAAGTATCAGCCACTGAACTGAAGCCCTTTATACCCATTACCTTTTTTAAATTCTCACAACAGCTCTATCAAGTAAATACTATTATTTTCCATTTTAATAGTGAAGAAGCTAAGGGATAGAGAAGTTAAGTAACTTACTCAGGTCCTCCAGAATGCTAGTCAGCTTTCTCTTACTATAACAAATACCAAAAATAATTAGCCTATGAAGAAATAGAGTTTATTTTGGCTCACATTTTTAGAGATTCCAATGCATGATCAGTTGGCATAATTGTTTTGCAGTGAGGCAGCACATCCTAGCAAAAGCATATGATGGAATAAAACTGTTGTCCTCATGACTGGAAAGCAAAAGAGAGTGAGGAGAGTTCTGTGCTCCCACTGTCTCCAGTAAGACACACTGCCGTGACCTCCCACTGTACTCCAGCTTTTGAAGACTCCACCACCTCCCAATAGCACCACCCTGCGGAATGAGCCTTTAACATATGGAGCTGTGGAACACATTCAAAATCCAAACTATTGTGCAGATAATAAGTGGCAAAAGCAAAAGTCCAACCTTAAGCAGTTTAACTTCAGTGCCAACTCTTCCTTACAGTGATACTACATTGTTTTCCCCTCATGTACAGAGAAATTATAAATCCTACATAAAACAAGTACAGTAAGAACACTTTGTCTTCAGACCAGCAGCATGGTTTTTCCTGTGGGATACTGGTTTTGTTTTGTAGGTATTTGTCTGTAAAAATACTTTGATGTTCTTACTCAATCCCACTGCCACCCTATCCAGAGTATCCACAGAAGAGACACAAAGGACAAACTATTCTTCAAGAAGAAGAAAAAGGAATTTGGAAATATTTAGTTGGTTGCATAAGAGAAAGCATAAGAATCTGAAAAATAGAAGAGAGTTGTGAGAAGGTAAGGCGCTCTGGTCACTGAACGGGACAGCAAATTCATGGGCAGTGGGACGTTTCCTGTGTCAGAAACACTTGGGAAGTTCAAAAATAACCCTGAACTGTCAGCAATTGTTTGCAACCAACAATGAGCATATATAAGAGATGTTTTTAAGAGATGTTTTTTAAGGAGGGAGAGGAATAGTATCTGATGTGAAACAAAGTGGGCCTGAGAGAGGGGCAGCAGATTCAGGGGCTGAAACCAAGTTTGAAACAAGCAATAGCAATGAGTCAGACAAATACCGCCTATTCCACAGCTAAAACAAAAGTAACCTGTATATCTGCAAAGACTCTTGAGAGTGACTTTCTACCCCTGGCTGGAGGTTTGAACTAAATTGACTCTCAAAAGCCCGAGGACACAGGGAAATCTGGGTTGTGGTAATATCATCAAACCTGGCTGCAGTTTGCTTGGCTGCATCAGATATTGACATCTGCCAACATGCTCATCATTTTAGTGTCTGTCTAGATCAGAGCTTCCTATCTTCAGCCCTCTTGTCATTTGGGGGCAAATAATTCATTGTTGTGGAAGAAAGGGAAAGTCTAGGGTATTGTACAATGTTTAGCAGCCTCTCTGACCTCTACCCACTAGAGGCCAATAGCCTTAGCACAACATCACCAAGCTGTGGAAATCAAGTGTCTTGAGATATTGCTAGGCATCCCCTGGGAGACAAAAATTGGTTCCCCTTTCCCTGTTGGGAACTTATGTATGTATAGGTGAAGATCTTTATTCAACACATATTCATATCCTGTGTTCTTGCATAAAATATGCATTTATTCCCCCTCCAATAGCAATAGCACTGTTTTGTAAACATGTGTCCCAAAGCTGTTTTGTATCATTTAACTGTCACACTAAGTCATATAAGCTCTGACCTTCTGGGGACTGACCAAGAGGGATGCCACAGCAAGTTCTCAGTTCTCTAAGAATTGTTATGAATATATTTATGTAATTACAGTAGATACAGTGTTCTATAGCCTACATTTACAAACATAATAATAGCACTACCATTAATAAAATACTGACATTTTAACCTTACATACAAATCAGAATTAAACATTGGCTATACATCTGGATGCAGTGATACTACTTGTAGTCCCAGACCTGTCTGGACAACATAGTAAGTTTTCTGCGGATTATCATAGCCGGATCAGGATCTATCCAGAAGAGGCATAATAAGCTGCGGCCATTCTCCTTGTTGTCCTTTGGAGATGCTCAAAATGAATGATATTCAGACAACCAACATATAATGCCCGCTTGGAAAAACTCAAATTCAAACTTTGGTGAAAGCCAGTATTTTGCAGGGAAGTAAAGGAGGCACTAACTTGTTTTGTTATGTTTTTGTTTTTAAGACAGGGCCTCACTTTGTAGTGACGGCTAGGCTTGAACTCACCTTATATCCCAGCTGGCCACAAACTCACAATGGTTCTCCTGCTTCAGCCCCCCAAGTGCTGGAATTACAAGGGTGTGCCACAGTTGTCCCACCAGGAAACATTAATTTTATAATCTCAACTATTTTTTCCACCAGTCATGATCTTTAATTCTGTTGCACAGATAAAATTGATGTGTATGGTTCCCTCAGTAGCTTGCTAGAATTTGACCTATTATCCCTGCTCAAAAAGCAAATTAGAATTTGAGAAAAAAGAGAGAGAGGCATTACTTAGTATGACTTATAATTCTAAATCATCACCAAATATAATATTTTGTTAATGACAGATGATTATGTAATGCTTCTTACAAATGACTGTCATATAATGGAACAGAATCTCTGGTTTATGGGAAGGGTATGGCCTTGAGATTCAGAACCACTGAGTTCATTTCCAGACTGCAATTTACCAACTGCTGCTTAAGAAAGTCTATGTCCTCATCTGTTGAATTTGTAATAAAATAATGCCTTTACCTCAGGCTGCATGGAAACATGGGAAAAGGTGAAAGCAATGTGCTACAGATTGCCTGACAAGTGTCACTCATTGTCATTATCTCCCACCACCACCAGTGCCTTGTATAAGTCTTAGAAGTGCCTTGGAATAGTCTTAGAAGAGGACTGTTATTTTTTTCCTGCTACAAGTCTATGGAACAAGTTCTTCAGTGGAACAGTACACAAATTCTTTTCTTAAGGTTATAACATAATTTCTCTAATTTGGAATAAAATTATATGCTTTGCCAACCCAAACATCAGTTCTGCTTAAGATACTGCTAAAAGAAAGAGATTATCCATGCTCAGATTTCTTCCAGCTCCTACAGGGTAAAACAGCATCTAAGAGCTAGTACTCACTAAGAGTAGTTCCTTTCTCAGCATTATAAGCCAGGGTCTTGGGATCTGACATTAACTATTTGGAATTTCTTAAGCAGCAGCAGACTGGAAAAGGCAACTGTCAGTGCTAAAGGAGTATGTCAGAACTCTTCTTTCTTTATGGCCAAATATGCTGAGTTGACTCACACTCCTCAATATACAGTAAGCCACTTGACAGTGACATTCATCCTGACTCTGCTAAACAGGTGACCTTTGCTGTCAGCAATGGGATCTGGAGCTACTGGAGCACAATCTGTATCATTATGTCACATATAGACTGGAAGGTTGACTACAGTTTCAGGATCCCAAGGGTTTTAATTAATAGGAGTTTGATTTAATAGCAGTCATTAAACAAATGGAAGGAAAACAAAGAGTGGGGGTGATAAGGAAGGGGAGCATAGGCAGGAAATGGAGAGTAATGCCCTGGAGGCTTGAATTTGGTGCTGTTGTATGTCGAGGTCATATCTCCCAAGGGTTGAAACAGACTGCAGAGAAGAGACCAGGCATACTGCCACACTCACCCTAATCATGTTCTTCTCTTATCAGCAACTCCACTTCCTGTTTTTATCTTCTACTTTGTAAGCCTCATCAGTGGCTTCATTACTGGCTTTCTTTGCAAGCATGAGAGGCTCAACTATTCATGCTTTGGTAGGAACAGGATGAAAAAAATCTGATTCTTTTTTATTTATTTTTTTAAGTGCTAAGTATTGAATCCAAGGTCTTGTGCTGAAAGCACTCTATAGTGAGCTACGTCTCTAAGCATTCTTCTTTTTCCTAACATGTGCAACCTATACATAGAATAGTTGGTGGACATGCAGACATCTTTTTCTGAATATGCTGATCTTTCTTTCCTGAGTAGGTTATAAAACTCAGGATGGGAGCTATGTCTTATAAGATAAACTTCATGGGATGATTGGCCAATTCTATGATCAGGCAATTAGCCCAGCTGGAAACCATATAGGTCCTAGAGTATCTCTGTGGTTGGGGAGAACCAAAAGATCCTTAAACCAATTTCCCCAAACTTAGCATCAAATCATCCTTGCTATTGGACCTACACAAAGCTTTTCTTGATTCCAGTAGCCAGTCTCATGAATGGAGATTAAGTCCCGAACAGCCTGTCCTTTAGGCCCTTAGTGCCCCTTAGGCCACTCTTGTGTGGTATCTCATTTGTACTAGATTGAATGGCTCCTCTTGCTCCCCTTAATCCTTTTAAGAATCCATAGCCTGGGCTGGAGATTTAGCTCAGCGGCATAAGTGCCTGCCTGGCAAGTGTGAAGTCGTGAGTTCGATCTCCATGCCACAAAAAAAAAAAAAAAAAAAAAAAAAAAGAATCCATATCCTACCACTGAACCTAACCCTCCAAAAGGCAGACCAACGGCTCACTGCCTGATGAGTTTTGTGGCTGCCCAGGTCTCTGTATTGTATGGCTGGTGCTTCCTCCACTTTAGCTCCACTGCCACCACCTTCCTCACCCCACTGGTTGGCTAGCCTGTTCTCAGTATGACTTCTCAGTGTGAATCTTGTTGCTAAGACCTTCTGGGAATGTCTGCCTTGCTCCCTGTTTTCTGACTACTTTCTAAGTCCTTTTTATTTTGCCATCAACCTGAACTATCACTCTGATCTTAAAAAAAAAAAGAAATCCTGTCAATGTTAGAGTCATAGCAGCCACACACATGCAAACATTCATAGTCACAAATATATTCATCACTTGAGAAGATTTCCATTCCTAAATTTATACTCCCCTTTTCAGGCATTTATCATCATTTCTAAGTCTTCCAAAGTTAAGCTTAAATTTTTCCTTAAATCAAAGGAGCCCTTAGAAATCATTCACTCCAACCCTCTTATTTTATTCCCAGTCTCTACTTTACTACCCTACATTTATGCTTCTATTTAGAAGCTAGTGGCATAGGACTTTTGCTAATGATGCCTTTAGCAAGGAATTACCTTTGTCTGTTAGTAAATTGCCATGATGCTAGAAAGTTCCATAGAAAGTCTCAACTTAGTAATTAGTTTCCATAAAAATGCATTTATCCATTGCTTAAGATGAAACAATTTCCTTCTCAACCCCAGAAGGATGCATAAACACACAACTGCATACACACACATGTGTGCACGCACGCGCGCACACACACACACACGCACACACACACACATACACTCACAATGTGATCAGTCAGCTCTCTGTCTAGAATAATCAAAATACCTCCCAGCTGTAATGACAGCATCATTTTATTGATGCTGAAATAGGAGGGTGATAAAGCATGTCTCAGCAGGCACAGTAGAAATGTGGTGCTTTTATGATTCATATTTCAAAAATGATGCCATTGGACCGAAAATGCAAAGTGGAGCTTATTATGTGTTTGCAAAAATGTAGTCAAAAGTAGTCAGCTCAGCTGTGCCTTTTAAACTCTGGAGGAATGAACATTATGACCAATTCCTACCTCTTTTCACCTTTGATTGTGATGGATATTTGACTTTTTCTATAGCCATTACCTCACTGTATGCTATGCCAGTGATGGTGAACCTTTTAGCTTTCAATGATATAAACAGTCTACTGCAGTACACATGCTATAGGTCCACCACTACTACTCCACGCTGCGAATGGGTTCAAAAAATGGTGATATTTCCTATGCAGTGATCTTGCTATATAGCTGGGGAAGAACCAAAGAGAACTGCAATCAAAGAGAATCATCCTGTTTAGCTCTACTTATTGAGGAAGGGCTTTTGTGAACACTGCTCTAGACTGAATGTCTGTCCCCCCAAATTCTCTCAAAGTGATGGCTGGAAGTTTTGGGAAGTGATTATACCATGAGACTATCACCCTCATTTATGACACTTATACCCTTCCTATCAACGAACCTCAGAGAACTTTCTTGCCCACTTTCCCACATGAAGATGGGTGTCTATGAAGCAGGAAGTAGGTTTTTACTAGACCTCCAATCCGCTGACATCTTGATCTTGGCTGTCTCAGTCATCAGAGCTGTGAGACATAAATTCTGTTGTTTAAGAACAACTATCCACCCGTCTATGCCATTTTGTTATAACAGCCCAAATGACAGTCCCACTTTCCAAACCCAGAATCTACCACACAGGTATGTGTTGCTTCTCTCTCGGCCTTGCTTAGACAAAGAACTCTCCCAGGAGATTTTCAACAGCTTCCTTCCTGCTTCTTACTTTGACTGCTATTAGAATTAAGTGGGAAACAATGCTGGGTTAACATTTTCTAAGCCACGTAACCATAGCACAATATCATTGGAAGAAAAATAAGCTGGGGTCAGGAAAGATGGGCTTGATTCCTGTCATCATCTCAGTCACAACTTTCACATCAGGATATTACAAGTCTTCCTTCTCCAAAGTGCAGGCACACAGGGTTGCCAGCTCACGTCATCTGTGAGCACTCAGAGCTCTGTAAGAAGAGCTGCCTTCCCCGCTTCTGAAAACGTATTCCTGGACACAGCTAATGAGTCAATGAAAACCCCTACGTGACCTATGGCTCAGTTGCTATTTTATACTTCCATTTTACACAACAAACAAGAGAAAAAAGCGTTTAGCTCGATTTTCTGGAAATTTACAGTCTGTTTTCATTTGGAAACCATTGTTGGTAAATTGCATACTAAAGGATGGCTTTTAACAAATGAGCAAAAATGAAAGCAGAAATGAGGCAGCTTAGATAGTCTCAATTTCCAGAACTCTAAAAATATTGATTAATTAACAGAGCAGCTCATCCAAAAAACCAAAACACTTTATGAGAGGCAGAATTTTGAGATGGGCTTTGAGATTTT